AGATATAGATATACATATTTATACATGGAAGTATATATATTTATTTACAGAACCAAACAACAATGTCAAATAAACCGGTCAATAGCAAGCTACAGCATCCGACTTTTGAAACGATGTGGAAATCATCTTTTTGAATTTGACAGTCTATTATGCGATATAGTGATTTACCTGTAGTCTACAGTCGTATTTAGCTTGAATGAGTCCCACCGATTGCTTCGCCACTGTTCAAGGGTCCTTGCCTTTTCCAGTACCACATGTTGAATACCTCTTGCCTTCAGCACAACACTCATAGAAATCCCAGCATGACCTCCTCCTATGACTACTGTGTTGGTAACCACAGCATCTTGTTGTACCGCCATGGTATTTGCGCAATTGTTGTGAAGACAGTGTAACGCGGCCGCAGGTGGTAAATGTTAGTACAAAAATAAGTACAGGATACGTCTTTTTAGAAGAGGCAGCCCTGTTATGTACGCTGGTTCCAAGTGGCGTTTGCGGTTTGGGTATGAAGGGGAAATTGGGAAAGCCGGAAAGGCAAAAGGGGATCTGACTCCAGTCACGCGTCAGAGTCGGTCAGAGTTCAGACGTCACTCACGTCAGGTGACTGGAATGGAATTTCCGTTTCCGGGGGATTAGATCTGAATCATCTGATCAATGATCATATGACGTGTTTGTATTTTATGTATGTATTTTCATACTTACGTCATGAAACAGAATTTTTTTTAATATAAATATTAAATTCATTTTTTTTATTGCGATCATTCCTACTAGAGATAGTCGCGACATCCCGTCGCGAGTTCTCAGTTTACAGCCGTCGGCTTTCACCCGAGACCACCTCTGAAGACTTTACAAAATTATATCCTGGTAGCAATCATACTACGTCAGTGGCTTCCGTATTACAAGTACGGCAGGCCATCGTTATCTTCTAGAGGGGCATTATATCTGATTGGTTTAATCTGCGTCATGCGTGTGGCGTTTTGCAACAATATTCATGTTACTGGTGAGAAATAAAAGTATACCCCGGAGTTACCTGTGACGATTTCCAAAGGGCCATGGCAGGAAGACATAAAAAGAGAAAATAACGAGTCTCCCCATAGACCGTATGTAGGAACCGGTAAAACTAGCATGTCTCAAATATCCATCTCCAGATGGTGTTAAAAACAATTTTGACATAATTATGTGCATATAACTTTAAAATATAGGTACGTAATACTTTAGTACTCCCCCCCCCTGTATTCTGCTATTCTGGCGAGAAACGTTAATACGAATTGAAATTTAAGGCTGTATACAACTTAGACGTTGTAAGAAGTATGGCAATCTATCGCAAATCGTCGCATGTTGGATATAAAATGCCCGCCGATACGATGGCGAGTATTTTAGGGCATCAATAAATCGACTAAAGATAGATACTCTGCGTTATGCCCGAAGTAGATTCGACGATCTCGCCTTGGTTGTTCAATTAAGCGACAACAAAGATTTTGACAAGCCTACGACCAGGGTACTCGGCAACACAAACGGCTCAAAGTCACATCTGGAGTGTCACTGTGCACATCCAAACGTGAACCTGACCACAAATATCTTAGCAGATAGCAAAACCGTGCACGAATGTAAAATTTCTCACTGCCGAAGCTATGCCCAAGCCCGTTCAGAGCAACTGTTTGATATCCACACCGCACAATATCAGAACAGTGAAAATGATATTCTCGAGCATATCGTCGTGAGGTTATGCATGCAGGAGTGTGTTTAGTTCTATCGATGGTGGGTTGATATGGCGTAGGCGGCATGAAACATGAAACAGTTGTGTTGCGAATTTTTCGGTACTGCTTGCATTTCCACTTTCGATTGACAGGGGATTAACAGGGTGTCTACTGTTGAGATTTTTATATACAAATCCAGCGATCGCAGTAAGTCAATACACTGCTAATTGACCCAGTCGTACAACTACAACAGTATATTAAAATGTACATTTCCTATAGACTTGGATTCAACCAATCAATCAAAGAAAATTAACTCGGATACTCCCTTGCTGAAGCTCTAAAATTCGCGCGAAGATATAATCTAAGGACAATTTTAAACAATGATATGGTAGCGCAGACTAGCTGCAACAAACTAGGAGAGTACTAGATTAAAGAGTTGAAGGACTATACACAAAGGTAAATGATAGATCCAAGGAGCGTATCACACACTGTGCACAGTAAATAGAGTGTAGATCTTTAAATATGTCATGTAGATAAAAGTTCTGGATTTTAGAAGGCTTATACAGTTATTTGGGGTTTCAATAAAGAGATATATATTCTTTTTGGGGGGGGGGGGGGTTTAAAAAAATAAAATAATAAATTTGGTACAATGAAGGCTATGAAAAGATGTGAAAAATAGCCTTCATCTCAGTTGAGTCTGTTGCTCAAAATCTGTCGGATGATTCTTGCGAGTGTCATGATGTGAGTCATCACTTTTGACATGATACCACAGAACCTTTGAATCACTTCAATCAGGGACATGTTCATGTTATTTTGCTTGCCTGTGTTGAGTTTCTCCATGTATGCTAAGTTCTTAGTTCTGGCCGTCTGTTCCCACACATAATCGATAATTTGTATATTACACTGCCTATGGCCACCTTGAATACTACAATACAAAACATATAGCTCTATACAATGGCATCCGGTCACGGGAATATAATACCCGGTACCCGAATTCTGGTGGATGGGTTCAAGCGCAGCTATATGGACCCTGATGATACTTCAACTTATGTATACTTTCTCTCTCACTTCCATGCCGATCATTACGGCGGCATCAAAGAAACATGGTATGTGCTGCATCTCTGTGTTTATGTGCCACTGATACATTTAGTTCTATTCTGCTCTGTATGTTCATGGGGCGATGGCAGGCTTAAGTTATGTGGTGTGTTGATTCCATGCTGTTTTAGTCTGTTATCACCATATGGGAACAGATGGGAAGTGTAGAGTTTTTCTGCCGCCCCGACCATACGAATCATTAACTGCATATGCTGCCACATACAAATAACTACAAGAGAGCAAATCGAGTTTATAGCTGTCACTTTTACACAAAGTCGAATTTGTTGCCGCCTACAATAATTATTTGCATGCGGTGTAATCCTAGTGATCTAGACCTTAGTATCACATATTAGGTATAAAACTGTTGATTTTAGAGAGCGCATGGATATCAAGTTGCAAAGGCGTGCAATACGCTCGATAGATTTGAAAGAACGTACGAACCGAAAGTGATGTACCGAAAGTTTGTGCCCGTCGGTCTTGATTGTTTTCAAAATTATGGATCTTTCGTCTCTTCTCTTCACGATAAATGTCGATACACCAGTTTTTTTTACAGAGCACAGTGTGTTAGTCCGTTTCAGTTCTTTACTTCAACATGTTTTGTATCATCTCACGTATAGGGATCGTGGGATTATATTCTGTTCAAATATAACCGGAGGTCTGCTTGTAAATATGCTGGGTGTGAGCAGAGAGTACGTAGTCACACTAGACATGAACGTGAAACACCGGGTAGTAGGTCCTGGTGGTGTATCGGAGGGGTGTACGGTGACCCTGGCCGATGCCAATCACTGTCCTGGCGCGGCACTTATGCTGTTTGAGATGGAAGACGGGACTCGGCACCTGCACACAGGGGTATGCTCGCCCCGAATGCACAGCATTTTCATGTTGAGGTTATGCAGGTTTAGCTTGTAAATACAAATGATGACACGCGCTTGATGAAGGGCTGCGATTGCTGGGTGAGCAACGTGTTTTGTAATTACACTGTTGCAGGTGTTGGTCTCAATACTTCATGCTTATCTTAGCACATAATCGTATGGTGACTGAAATGTAAATTCAATTGTTGTTCTGCGCGCATTCGGATTGTGTTCAGGCGTTTTAATTTTTTATCGTGTCGGTAGACGGCGGCTTTACCGATAAGTATTTGTATGTATTTCATGCCCTAGCGTTTCTTGTGAAGCCATAGTGCGGGATCGGCATGGAAGAGTACAAGATGAGAGCTGGGAAATATAGTCAATGTAGCAACGCTTTTCAAGTTTTGTAATCAAATGGTAGTACTTTTCCAGCTGCTGTCCGCGATGTAGATGAGTTGATTTACTCACTATGCATTCAACTTTGGATTCTCTAACTTTAAATACACTCGCAGGATTTCCGAGCATCAGAAGCTGTGAGGAATTCAATTCAGGTGTGTACATGGCGGCTCACTTTGTTCTGACGCATTCACAATCGTCAAGGTCTGATGCCCTTTTAGATACACTGCCGATTGTGTCGGCGTTTGTATAGAGTGGCGGATTTTAAAAGTGTGTTGTGTTTTGCACATGTTGATAGTATCTGGAGAGAAATTTGCGTTAGCCGGTCAACGTATCAGTTTACTATTTCTCGCTTGTCTGGGCTGTTGTACCTTGACACGATTCGTGATGTACGCAGACGACACTCGGCGGAGTATACTCTCATAAAGCGAATTATCGGAGCTCCTCATGTCGCCAAAGCGCAACATGTTTGTCATCTTTGCCTCACATTTTCTATCAATCCAGCGGTCACGGATACACACTCTATTCCTGGACACAACTTACTTCGATGCGAAACATACGTTACCAGATCAAAAGGCAGTGGTGGATCTGTGCGGGCGCATAGTAGCTGACGCGCGCAAGAATTGCGAGAAGGTGCTTATCGTGGTCACAGCTTATAATGTTGGCAAGGAGAAACTCGTGCTTAAAATGATGGAGGTATGTTCGCTTGAGCGCATTGTGTGTATCTTGTCGGTAGTTGGCATTGGTTTGCGATTGTATTGCACATGTCAAATGTGTTCTCGAGAATCTCTGACACGTGTTGCGATGAGACCTTTACGTCATAAACAATCTATGTGTGCCTCGCACGCATTTTTCAACACAAATGTCGCCTCGTGGTACCTTCGTACTCTCGTATCTGCACACGCATATATCGGATATAGTACGATAGTTGTATGTGCATTTTTGGAGAAATATCGGCTATACGCGTGCGGGCTTCCTCGTATGTAGTCTCGTTTCGCTCAATTGTGATTATCTCCCAAGTGATTATGTCTGCATTATTTAGATGGTAGGTATTTTTGTTCACATTTATTGCACTTTGGCTGTCGAAACCTATTTGTATTGGTAACATACAGCAAACAGCGTAAGTAGTGATCATAATGCATCTATCGTCCGATGTAGGTAGAGTTTACATACCTTGCTCGTGTTCTCACGACTCGTGTTCTCACGACCCTTCCGTGATTCCATCAATACAGGACGACCCATCTTTAAAGGTAGGCGTTGATCAGCAGAAGATGAAACGGGTATTTCTCACCCATAACGAATTGGCCCTGAGCCAACGGTTCACTGTTGATCTGGAATCCAGTGGAGTGCATATCTGGAGATGGGGCCAAATAGGCGATTCCCCACCGGGCAATTGGACGTTCTTCCCTAATTATGACAAGTTGAGAGCTTACGCAGCGAAGTATAAGGCAGACAAGAGTATGTCTGATAGTCGTGATTGGGTGCTCTGTAAGTTTTGAGCGAGGGAAGCGAGGGAGTGCTTTGTTGGTCGGCCTGAATGCACATCTCAACCTGCAGCATCATCCCATATTGTGTTGCATGTGTATGCTTCCCGGAAGTGGGTCTATGCACATAAGTATGGCTACGGAGAGTGCTTAGAGCTTGTATTTGATTGTGCCTGTTAACGCACTTCTGCGGGAACAGCTTGGTGGTGAAAGTGTGTGAATTGAAGTTTTCATATTACTCAATCTTAAACGTGCTGTTACTTTTTCGGTGGGTGTCAGTCATTGGGATCGTACCAACTGGCTGGTGCTATCACTTCTCGAAGAAAAGTTTTGCTAGAGATGAGCAACCAGTGGACAAGCTTGTGCCGTGGCTAAAGCACGGAGTGAATGAGGTCGAGATCAATGGAGAAATGGTCAGGTGAGTGCTAGCTATTAACGGTGCTTTGCACTGTGTGCACATTCAGGATAGACTATTGGAGAGGTTATAAGCTTAAATACGCAAAGAATCTCCGGAAGGACACATTCAGGATAGACTATTGGATAGTTTATTACGCTTAAATTCGCAAAGAATCTCCGGAAAGTAGTATATTGCCGGCCCTAGGTCTGGACTTGGTAGACGTTTGTGCTTTCCGCATTGCTGAAGGAAGTAGACATCGAATTGCCTTTCGCCAGTATAACTGTACATCAGCATGGAGTTATTCAAAAGAAAGGCGAAGCGCTTCTTCAAATCTGTATATTGTTTTTGTATCCATACAGATATCACAAGCAGGCTTTGGATAATGTGATGGTTGTTTGTGTGCCGTATAGCGAACACAGTAGTTACACCGAGCTTATCAAACTGGTAGAGCACGTGCGACCGAAGATTGTATTTCCGACTGTCGTGAGGTAAGTCTTGTAGGAAAGTTTGGACTGTGTTTCCAATGGAAGGTGATTTTTTCTTCGAAGTCCTATTCGTGAAGAGCTAATGCTCTTGTTCGGCGAAAAGAGTTGAGGTCTTATATTGTTTGTCGATCTTGTATGTCTATGAAGGTATTGATTGCCAGTCTTAAATATTCAGAAGTTCTACACTGGCATACCGTAGTGAGTTGTACTTCTCCGCATTTAATCTAGACGTTAGTGTTTGACACAATGGTGACACCGTGTGATTGAATTGTCTAGTTTCTGAGTCGATTGATCTGTGTTTTGTGTGCCTTTCATACATTTGTAGTCCTTATTGATACATTTCTACCTCGTCACAGTAAAGAAAATAAAGAAGCGAACATAGCTAAAATACAGAAGAAACTACAGAAGTATTGCGATCCTCAGTTTGCCAAAGATCAAAAGCAAGCTGTTGCGAAGCGTGCTCACTTAAAGTTGTTTGGAGCGGCTACAACCAAGGGCGTCCGTGTATCCGGGGGCAAAGAGTTCGATCCGGAACATGGTGTGTGGACACGATATTAACCCGTAATGAGCTTTCAGCGTTGAGCGTATAGAATTTAAAGCGACATGCTATGCTGTGGATGTGTTACTGTTTGTGCCTCGCGTCGATGATTCCTAAATAGTAATTGGTGCGCAGTGCATATAATACTATTGCTATGTAAGAGCACATCTTTAAGGATCTTGGTACTTCTGCAGCTTCTATGACTACTCTTGTGGTGGCAAATCAGCTTCTGAAAACACTCATAAAGCAATATGTGTCGTGCTGCCTACGCCGGTTTTTGCATCTGTTGCTACCTTTAGAGATCCATGCTGACATAACAAGTGGTGACTACGTAGAGTTTGTGAAGCCGACAAAATTGGAGAAGAATGGTCTTGCATCAGCGGATAAGTAAGTTTGCATGTCCCAGCGTAATACTTGAACACTTTTGATTTATAGTGGTCTTTTCTATACTATCGATACGTCTGTCTACAGTTACTAGTGCCCAGATTTAGACACGTGTTGGCTCGCATTCTGAGTGCTAACATTGGCTAAGCTGAGTATGTTCATATGCGATAGATGTGTATTTGGCTTGACAAAATACGATAATGGGAAAGTATCCGTTGCTGTTGTCGCGATCAATTTTGCCAAATCCTTTCTAGTAGTTGGATAGGGCGGGTTTCCATGCTTTCTTCTCCTTTATTGCAAGTATAAAGTATTACGGTACCTCTCGCCTTTCGAACCTTGGAGTGCTCTGATAGTGACTTAGTTAACCGCTTTGTACATTCATTTTCTGTAGTTACGAGGTGAATGAGGACGACACACAGGGACTGAGAAGGCCGACACTGAGGAAACGAAAAGCTAGTGCGAAAGCCAGTGCGATAGCGCGTAGTGTTGATGGCTCCAAACGGACTCGTAGCATACCTAAACCCTTAAAACAGGAAGTCGGACCCGATGTAAATATATCAGATGTCAAGACAAGTGGGAAAGTGATAGAGGTCGATCAGAAAGTCAAGGTTGAGGAGATCAGGGATGCTGAGGGTGGTATCATAGAGAATGCTGATGATAATAATATGATAAAGAGAATCAGTAGCTACAGTAAAAAGGATAAAGCAGCTGATATAGACAAACTGTCGGGTCTGTTGCCCGTGGAGATGACACGTGATGACCTGGCAATGCTATTAGAGAGTAAGGGTTGGAGTGTGGGGGAGGCTGCCAACGCATACTTTGATAACGAGGTCCAGATGGATGGTGATGGACACGAGTGTTCGAACCAGGAAGTGGAGAAGGAGCAGGAGAGTATTGGAGTATTAAATGAGGACTCTGCAAGAGAATTAAGATATAAGGACAGGGCGGGAGTGGAGACAATCGATCTGACGGATGATAATAAATATATTAAGGATGATATGGTAAGTATGAAGGATAGCAAACACGGTTTGACAGCAGGCAAGCAGAAGGGACAAAAGAAAACTGTTGCAAAGGTAGCGAAGGGAAAGACGAGGAAGAGTGTTATGAAGAGAAAGGGGAGCGACGAACGTCTTAAGGATGCCAAGCCGAAGGCTAAACAGGCCACGTTGCTCGGGTTCTTCAAGAAAGCAGATCTGCCCGCAGCTTGAAGCATTTGTGCTATTTATAAAGACAAATTAATCATTAGAATGCCATTTGTACTTTATGTTCGTTTTGATAGTAGGTTTGCCACCCCGTGCTATAGTTGCATCGCTTTTATTCCAGCTAGTACTACCCGGATCAGGCAGAGCAGCTGTTGCACAACGGCCAGTGGTGTTTTTCTCTACCTCTTATGTAGTTGGTGGTGTGATCGCGTGCGGTACGCAGTGTAGTTTGCGTCACCCTGAAATACTGCCATGAGATGCAGCCTGCAACTTTACTTCAGTTTTCAGGCTATGTGTCCGCATAAATCTTGGAGCACAGTATTGGACCAGCTTGCACACATGCAATGCAGTACCCGGGGAATGTCTCCGCATACAGTATGGCCAGTCTGTAAGGTTCATATACTAAAAGCGCAAACTGGTGCTTTATCATGTTGAGATGCATTGTTTAGTGCGACTAGGTCGTGTTCAGAATACGTTTCCAGCTACAGCTTTCACTGTGCATGCGTACAAACCATGAATTGCCACCGCTGTCAGCATACTACGCTTGCACTAAGTTGCACCCCGATCTTCGTGGCACTGCTGATAACGTTGCATCGTTAGGGCAGTTTAGACAGAATTGCTGCTGACACGAGCCTATTTATGGATCGCCCCGATCACGAGATTCTCTGCGACCAGACGTCGTCATAATACAAATTAATCACGGAGTCCAAGTTTGCAAGTGGCGAGTTGCTTTTGGCGACTTCGACGGTACTAGACCCCTCGATCCTCATGTGAGCCAGCCTTTGCTACCCTCCGTGAGTACACACACGACTATTCATGCATGTATGTGGCCATGTGCACATAAATGCACATACTATTACAAATTGGTTTCATCGCTGAATACGCGAATTTTCGATCTCTCAAGTTGCCAAGATTGATAATTCACAGCCAGCTCGGATTCAAACCTCCGCAGTGACTACGCAGTAGTGCGATTTCTCACTCGGTGCGTTCACACCACAGTAACCTCTCCACACACAGCCAGGCATTGGCACAAAATCGTATCCCAACTATGCGTCAGTGCACACATCGTGTGCTTTTAGATAATTCCAATGCAATATCTATTTACGGTGAGTACCATGAACTGTGCACTCGGGTGAGCCCATTGCACTGCAGTTGTCACGGTGCACTCTGAGTATCGCCTAAAAGGCAGGTGTACTGTGATGCGTGTGAATAGCTAGCATTGTCGTAGATATCCGATACGGATCAATTCTTTGACTGGGGTAAGCCGACTGGCAAATTCTGATGGCCAAGAGCGCAGGTACTCCTCGCACTTGCTGCACGGGTGTCCGATCAGACTTCATCGATTTCTGGATGGGGTTTGCTAAGTGTGAGCTCTCACAGTTTTACGTGCATTTTTTATAGATCATATCTATGAGGAACACTCAATCAGGTGAAGGCAGTAATATTGAGCGCGTGTGTGCATGCATAGGGGCGCCTTGAGGGTGAGCATGTATAAAGCAAACTTTGTATAGCCTGCAGTGTCACAATCACGGAATCACCTGCCACCCATGATACCCACATATACGCTTCACGCAATAATCGCTTCTCCTATTTCGACATACTGGATAATTCGCGATCACCTAAGACCACGCGTTGGGCTTGAAGGTGATCAACCATACGGACAGTGATACCAACTAATTAAAAAAATCTACTGCGCCATAGGTGAGACTGCTAGTCAGTCCAAATGACTTTGCATACCTCTTAGAGTTGTCCGCCGGAGGGTGTCGCCTGGGGCCCATTGCGATGCTAGTAAACTTGGACGTGATGTCCTCTCTCTCCGATTGCCGATTCTACAACAAAGAAGCAAAGATGTACATGTAAGTAAGGTTTAACAAATTCTTTAGAAAACCAGTGAAATGCAATCAGCTATAGATGATTACCTCCCTTTATGCCGGTTCGATTTTTATCGCAAGACATTCACGCTTCAACAGACACAAACTTTGTCACACAATTCGACTAACATAGCGAGCGGCTGCCCGGTGGCACCTTTACTACGCGGAGCGAGCACAAATCACCCCATAAAGCAAGCAAAGGTATATCTAGGCATACGCCTATATTAAGTCGTACCGCTTTCGATAGGAACAGAGTCATCCACGCATGATCAGGATTTGGCATGCATCGATTGTTTATCCACCACAAGCGGATTCTCCGCTCTCTATCCAAGAATACACCCCTACGCACAGCTACAAATGGTACACAATCCCACAAAATGCCATAGAGAAAATAGCATACACTTCCTCGACGTCATGCAACCTCCATCAGCGACGATAACTCCGCCTGTTCACATATACACCAAACTACCACCTATATCTTAGCCATTCAGCTGCCTATATGTGACCGCATGCATACTCACAACTACAAACAAAGCAACCCACTATACCTCCATAGTAGGCGGCTTCTTAGCCTGTTGCGCTGCTTTCCATGTGGCTGCCCGTTGTTCCTGCAATGCCTCTTGCGCCTCCATCTCTTCGGCGCGCTCTTCGTAGTCGAGAACAAAGCGCTTGAGCTCTCTTTGCTCAGCCAATTCCTCCTCTTGTTTCCTGCGCAATTAATAAGCGGAGAGTGCGAAATGGCATAAGCACAGGTGGTGCGTCTGGTACAGCATACATGCTATCGCCACAGTGCTCTAAGGATTGTTAGACACGTTTTTCTGATTTAGTGCTGCAAGGGTTTAATGCACATGTACTGCACTGAGTGCCCGATATGCGGAGGGTGAAAATTGCCACAGTTTGTGACATTTACTCATCTCGAAGGGAGGCATATGAGCAAGTAAAAGAACCATGTATACAACAACATCTGCGCAGCACAGATGGACACAGATACATACAAACTCACACTACCTCTCTCTCACACACTCGTAAGCACAAGGCACACAATCTTACTTCTTGATGTTCAGCGCAAACGTTGAGTCCATGGGCACATCAATGTCCTTGAGTTGTGGCTTGTTGCCCTTCTTCGTCATCAACGCAAACTTGATGCCACTACCCCCTGGAGAAGGCTTTCTGACCATGCCCTCAGCCCCATAGTGAGCCTTCACAGCCACTGTAGATGTGGGAGCAAGCGCTCTGGCTATTGCCGTATCTTCATGGTGCACCTGGGACTGTGCCTGTTGCGGTGTCTGTGTTCTATTTATATCCTCGTCGCCTCCCCCGAGCGTCGGCCATTCGTCGGTCATCTCGCTATTGGTCCCGGAATTCCTCTGCGCATCTGCGGCGCTGGCGGACAGTGTGCCCATCTGATCGGCTTTCGCAAGCGTGACCTTTTTGACACTAATGGGAATGGGGATGTCTAGCACTGATGTTTTGGCTTCATTTCGCCTCGCAACATTTTGATCGCTCGCGAATTTGGAGAATTCGTCGATGAACATGAGATCGAACTCGTCCGGTTCATGGGGTTGCTGTATCCGTACAGAAAATATGTTAGAAATAGAAAAATAGTCGATCACAGCCTGTGCCAACATTGTACGCAATTAAATGGAATGAACTATGAATGGCATTTACAAAAAACCACATATATACATAGACAGTACCTATATATTCTAATACATACCGGTGCCTTTCTAAGCCTGACAGAATTGAACCCTCCATCGTCGCTGTCGTGTGCGGTGGTGCGGTCGCTGTCGTTGTCGCTGTCACTGTCGCATTCGTCCTTGTCGCTTGGCTGTTGCTTCTTCTCATCCAGCTCACTCTCACTTTCCGCATCACTCTCAGGGTTCCCATTCCGGTCACCCTGTATATCAGTTGTGCGTATGTGCACGTAAATACAAATGTGAGAAAGTTCATTCGAGCCCACCTGCACATACTCCCACCAAATTTGCACTCGTGCGAGGCTATTACTGTGCATACGTATTGTATACAACACAGATGTAATGTTCATTTTATGTTCGGCTAGTACATAGATATACTTAATTTGATGCTGGTGTGGTGAGCACAATCAGATATGCGGCGTTCACATTTTGAGAGAGGGAGATACTTCATTGTACCTTCAAACAACAAAGCCTCTAGCAGGCCCAAGAAAAGCACTGTGCTAGAACTTCCCACTTCAATCACAAGTACAATATGACATCTCGCAAGCCTGGCCTATAACCAAACATCCCAAACATCCACATCACTCGTGCGCAATATATCAAACCAGACCCAACCACCTACCCTTGTTTCAGCCTCACTGCCCCCATACGTATCATTGTCATCGTAAGCCTCGCCATTCTCGTCCAGTTCACTGGCTGCCTCATTGTCGTTGTCGTTGTCGCTGAGATCACTCTCCGCTTCACTCCCGCCCAGACTGCGCAGACTGGTGGATTGGGACAGTTGACTGCCCGAGATGGATGCAGTTTCTGCGTCCTGAGGTGCCTTCTGCACCACCACGCTAGGCGTGTGTGCATCGCTTACCTGCTCAATGTATGTACACCCATGTATGAGTATCAAAATACTAGCACAGGGAAACGTGTATAGGTTTTGAGAGAGGTATCTGCTCGATGTGTGCTTACAAATGGAATAGTACTAAAATACTAGCGATGGGAGGAAGACTCAAAGAGTAGAGAATGTTGAATACGACCACAGCCGTACGGGTGTTCTGTAACACAACCAGATAAGAGAGAAGGATGATACATCCAGACAAGCGAACTAACACAACAGCACGACCTGCGTAGTATACGTCAAATTAAAATTATATATATATATATATATATGTAAATATATATACATCATATATAAATACATACTTACATACGTATATATATATACATATACATACATACATACATACATATATACGTACGTACGTACGTACATACAAACATACATACATACATACATCAATACATTCATACATACATACAAACATGCACATACACACACGCACGTGTACACACGCACGCACGTGTACACACACACACACACACACATAAATACATACATACATACATACGTAAGTATGTACGTAATATATATATATATATATATATATATGTGTGTGCATATGTGTGTATGCAATACATGTAATCATATAAAGAATGATAATATGCAAGCTTTAAATTTAAAGCGTTTGTTGGTGCGTTTTCGTACCTGCGTGTCGGCTGCAGGACTCTGTGTAGCAGCCGTGGTAGCATTTGTGGATTCACCTGAATCTGTTTGAAGTCCAATACATACAAAAGATGGTAAAATGAGGTGAAATCCACCCACATATGAACTTAATATTTCTATCATAACTGCTAATCTCCGTATAAATTGCGCTAAGTGTTTGTGGAGATGTGATGTACACCCGCGAATATAGGTGTATAAGTTGACAAGTTTCATGCAGAGAATGCGCGTGGGCGTCTGTTTCATGGCAATTGATAACAAAGCCTTTATGATAGCGTGTCGATGGACTGTGTAGGAATACTCTGAGCGGAAGCATCAGCATGTACCCGTCTATACAACAGACTAAAAAATGATCTATAGCTACATATGTTCTAATCACTAAAACAACACATGGAAATACAAACTCACCCTTTGTATGAGTCTGGGTGGTCGGATTTTTCTTTTCAAAGTCCTCGCGTTGTTTCTGAAGGGCATCTCCCACCAGCTGGTTCTGTAGTGTTAGAATAGCCTCGTTCGCCTCTACCCATGTGGAGTACAGCTTGGCCTTGGGTGCCAACGTGTCAAATATATCTATGTATGGAGGGGAATAGAGGGTGAGGGTGAGCTACTTATATAAAACCAATGTACTATAGTCGGATTCTGATATTGACGTATGACGCAAAAGTGGCTGTACACGACAGGACAAATAGGTACGTTATACTTTCCATGCAGCAGCACTCTCAAAACTACTCACACAATAGATGGATGGTGATAATGATATCTATTTAACAGTACACAGACATCAACATACACTGGATAATTGGAAGATTTTAGCAAAATACAGGACAATGACGACTGATGACATAAACACACCTTGTATTAGGAAATCTACTTCAACTGGCAACGGCAGCTGCTTGCCCAGAGAGTAGCGCTGGAAGAACATGAGAAAAAACTCTAGTTTTTTCTTGGTGTTGCTGCCGGTCAAGTACAATCCCACCACATCTAATAGGGCGCATACCAACCGCACGCGGAAGTAGTTACCTGCGGGCGACAGAAAAACAAAAAAAAAGGGTCACGAGAATACCGAATTTGGCGGATGGATGAGACTACAGATAGGCGAAAAATGGTTTGGAGTAACCGATTTTACACTCATAGATTAAGAGTGGAGGCTGTGCTGAATTTTCAGATCTTGACATATGTGTGCACCTGTTCCATGTACGTCGAAACATATGCACATGAAGAAGTGGAGAATGCCAAGCTACGTAAGCGAGCATATTCCTCACAAGGATATACGGCATATATTTGTGATCGTATAACAACCAAAACCTGTATACAAACCACACAGACGCCAATAAGTCACTTCCAACACGACTGTCTTGTTTCCTCGAGGCTCTCAGTCGTGACAAACCAGGTCAGCTAGTTGCAACGGTATGTGCAATAGTAAACAGAGAAGGAAGCGAAGGACACGCTTATAATCGAAAACTGTACAGGCATACCAACCAAGCAAGCGATACACTGTATTGATCCGAATCCCAAACTCATTGAACTGTTTACGCTCAATATAAATGTTTGTTCATATACGATTCGTACGTGGCCCAAAACGAGAATCCAAGTGCCGGATAAATCATACCAGGTGGGTCTAGCGGCGATTGCGATGGCGCATTAGGGTTGGAGTAGAGATCGTGGCCAAACAACAGACATGTGTATAGTGTGTCCTGTAACAGACTAGTGGACACCATCTGGTACACATACAGTTCTCCAAAGTAGTGGATGGTGGAGAGACGCATTCGATTCCAGTCTAATCGGTTCACCTGCGCAAAGTAAAAGTAGTGTGGTAGATTTTCACATTCGCATTAACTCAGGTTGCGTTATTCACACCGCATCCTTGAACAGTCATCTTGAACTGTAGCAACAGAGAGCCATTGTCACTTTAAAGTTGGTGCAATTCATCCACAATCACAACATTCACAGCACTGTCCACTTCTGGATACTTGAAATGCAAAAAATACCTCCAAACCCAGGCGGATATGCTCCACCGTAGCATCCACCACACGCATAGCCACGCCTTCTTGGTACACGTCCAGCCCATCTACTACGGCGGCCAGTTGTCGAACGGACCCGTGTTTACACTGTGTAAGCGTTGAATGCAGGCAAAGCAAGTGCGATTGATGAAATATGAGTAATAAGAAACTCAAGCATGGAAGTGTGAGACGAATACGATAAGATAATAGACTTACTCACAAAACTTCGCCAACGCAGGTTTTAATCTACATCTGCTGGTTTAAAAAAAAAAGCGATGTCTGCACTGGCAAGCTCACAATAATATGGTATGCTAGAAAAATCCTGTGAAATTTAAATTGGGCGGCTCATGAAAAAAAATTCTCCGGGTTCGTGAGAGAAGAAAACTTGTTTTGAAGACTACCGAGCTTTAAGAAGGTCATCACTGCACTAAGGCGTTCACGCACACTTTCGCAGACTGGATAAATAGGTCATGGCATCCGATATTTGCCCCTGCCGGTTCAGGCGCAAACACAACATATTCACTCACCCTTTCACCAGCTCTTTGAATAAGGAAACTATCTGAAGAATACTTCATACATTATACATGATGGTTCAGGCGCAAACACAACATATTCACTCACCCTTTCACCAGCTCTTTGAATAGGGAAACTATCTGAAGAATACTTCATACATTATACATGATATGCGATAAGTCAATCAATCCATCAATATATATATACATACATACATACATACATACATATATATATAATATAATATATATATATAAATATATATATATATATTTATATGCAACATACATCTATACATACATGCCTGCATGCACGCATGCATACACATATACACCTACATAGATACAGCTATGAATATATGTATATATATCATGTTATTATAGAATACGGTCACAATATAATAGACAATAATATAATAAAAAGAAGACAAAAATATACACATATATAATACTAATAACAATACATATATATATACATTAATCATAATAATATATAATGACATACATTAATATATAATAGTATTAATAATATAGAATAATATTAATAATATATAACAATACATAAATATATATAAGAATACTTATATTAATGTATAACAATATGTATAACAATATATAACAGTATATATATATATATATACAAACACACACACACACACACATATATATAGATATAGATATATTTATAAATAGATATATATATATACATACATACATACATACACACGTACGTACGTACGTACATACATACATATATATATATATACTACCCCAAGCTCGCTATGTATGTGCGCGAGCAACCACGGACCCGACGCAATTTTAAGATATACAAATATCGATCTCACCTTCCAAGGCTTACTCAAACATTTTATCGCGTAATTCCGAACTTCAGGATTACCCCATGGCAATTTCCGGATCTGTTTTGTGACGTAGATGCACGTGGACTTATTCAGCTTGGTGTACAGCAGGTGGCGAATGTACAACTGTACTGATGGTCGGTCCTTGCGGACTTTGCGCGTGCTCGGTGGTGGATTACTGCATCGGGACAAATATAAGGGATGGATGAGTTATGAATTTTGCAGAGATCTACATTGGGAGAAAGGGTAGGGGTATGTGAATTCGGTATATAGTAGCTAACATGTGATCTACACTATCACCGGACAAATCGGAAAATTTTGAACAAACTCCACAGGCTACTCTTTAATTGAGTATATGTAAGTGTAAGATACAGTCCACCAATGATTCAGACCTGGAAAAAGAACAAGGCACACTTCCAATATAATGATCAATATATTGAAGCGACGGGATTTAACATTTTTCTCATCACTTGAAAATTGATAAGGAATGAGCAAAAAAAAGCTTGCAATGGATAAATAAAATGGGACTCACCATCACAGACAAGATACCCACTACCCATATACACAAAAATATGCACACTGTGCATATACTCACCAGATATAGAAGGCATTTTCAATAGCACTGACGTGTTGCGCGTCCATCCTCTGTGCCGCTCGTTTCCGCATCATGATCTCCAGATACTTGGCCGTCCTGGCATGCGATTCGCCAGACCGGTACAGGAATACGCCGCAATGTTCTAAGAAAACACACGCGAGGTCTATGTTGAATCCCACAAAGTCGGCCACCAAGCGTTGCAGTACGTTGAGAGCATTCTGTTTCTTATATACTCCAAACTTGGTGAGCTCGGCAAAGTACCGAATAACACGCGTCTAAAGGCAGGGTCGAGATAAGGTGAAAACTGTACGATGAGAATACTGTGGAAAGTGCGCAGGTACTATTTGTATTGTGTGAGAATCTGATAGTTGACTTATCTGTAGATACCAGGAAATAACCTTGCATAGTATAGTATCCATATCGATTGTGGTAGACGAAATATGCACCGTGAACGATAATATCGTATATTTCCATGGATACACAACAATCAAGCTTATACGCGTACAAGGAAGCTTTGACACTCGACCGGATTACAAGCTGTTCATTCGAACCGATGAACGAGGTGTCCAACCGCATCATCGACATAACGGATTATATCTAAGCATACATGGCCACATAAAACACATCGCTGATAAAAAAATGTGTAAAAATTACTATAACGTGCATTCGTACTCAATTCCATGTGTAAATTTTCTTACAATCTGTTCATGAGTATCTTCATTACATGTGTGAATGAACATACCCTGAAGTCCAAATTGACCTGTTTCTTGCTCTTCGCCTGCTGCCAGCGGAACTCTCGCTCAAGGGGCTCAGTGACATATCCAATGAGATCAGGCATCACCGGTGACAATGTAGCAATAAGGCGAGAGTAGTAGGGCAGCAAATCAAATCGATTCACGTCCGAACCAGCAAGCGTCCTGATGTAGAGAGAATGGGCTGGAAGTGAGTGTACGATAGTGAGTAATTATTTTAATATATATGTATGTATGCATGTATATATGCATAGTTATAATAATTATATTATATATATATATATATATATATATTATATATATATATATTA